CGCATTTTGGCGGGTTTAGCTTCACCCCTTCCAACACTGGAGCCTCAAATAAAAGACGGTAAATTTGGCAGTGGCTAAACACCACCACCTACTCTCCTCAGTAAGAAATGTGGGTGAAAAAAATTGCCTTATTATTCGACTTGTCATGTAATTTTGATGTCAAATTAATAATTATACATTGTATTTTTTCGAGTGTGTTTAATATTTATATTAACCAAGATAAAAAATACACCATAAGAGGCTGATCATACGAGAATACAGTATATAATAATAAATGTTGGAGAGTGTGTGTTGGTGTGTGTATCCTCCCCCCTGCCTCCTGCCAGCTTGCCTCCTGCCAGCACCTTGCCTCCTGCCAGCACCTTGCCTCCCCTGCCAGCACCTTGCCTCCCCTGCCAGCACCCTGCCTCCCCCTGCCAGCACCTTGCCTCCCCCTGCCCCTCCAACTTGCAGTGCCTCACGAGATTTCATGAATGTGGTGTTGGGGTATTAATTAATGAATAATAAACAATATAGTATTAATGACAGTACTGTACAGTAGTCTGATGAATAGTAGTGACAATTGTAGTACGCTGCTATTCTTCAAACGACTGTCACTGATATGCAATATTGCTTATTCATTAATTAATACCACTATCCACCTAAACTCCCATATTGTATGACATAAATTTATCGTGGTTAACTACGTGGTGAATTGAAAGATCAGCTTTTTGAAGCTTGGTAGCAACACTGGTGCATGTTATCACTCATTTTCCACCCCATCTCTCTAATCACCCACACCTTTCAGCTTTCTCCTCCATTTTAAATCTTATGTAACGTAATGTTGAAGGGATACAATGTGATAAGTGTAAGCATACAAAATACTGTACAGTACTTTAGCTTTCATGTTTATTCAAGACATCTTCAGGTCCTGAAACCTACAATCCCCCAACAGTGGGTGACCTGACATTGTATCAGGTCAGTAATATGAGACCACCAATACCCCACCCTACCTCCACCTGACATTGTATCAGGTCAGGTCAGTTACATGAGATCCGCTAATCCCCCACAGCAAAAAGTGGAAAATACCAGTCTTTGTTCTAACACACTTCATTCACAACCATATGATATAGATTTTTAGTTTAGATTCTTGGACTCCCCAGCACACAGAAACATTATGAGGATGTGGGCTAGTGTTTGTCTGTGCAAGATGCATAGTTTAGACACTTGGAAAGTTTTTCCAGTAAGAAATATTTCCATGGATGGGGATTTTCGGATTTGAAAGTCGTCTGGTTACCGAAATCTCTCATCGAAATGCTCTTCACCAATTGTTTCCGGCTAATGGGGATATCACTGTATAACCTTTTCCTTTTCTATTTTTAATTTCTTTCCATTCTTATTTTTTTCGCCCTCAGGTCCGTTGTGGGTCGTTGACCTGTGCCTGAGTGGGCTATTCCCATCAAAAAATAAAAAAAAAAATCTCCGTTAGCCGGAACAATTGGTGCAAAACACATCTGGGAATAAGAGATTTCCAGGTAGCAGACAACTCTCTCAAGTCAGAAAAAGATCCTCATCCCCGAATTTTCCGCCTGTCGGAAAATTTTCTCAGAATTTTCGAAAATTTGCCCTCGGAAAATCATTCCCAAAGCTGGAATTTTCTGGAAAATTCTGGCTTTGAGGAACGATTCCGAAAAAATTTCAATTCTGGCTATCGGAGGTCCGGGTTTGAGGATTCGATTGTGAAATATTACTGTAAATGCAACAACTCCAAGCACCTGAGTTTTGACTGTACAAATGAGGCATATCACTGGTGGGGATACATCCTAAAATCTGTGAACCACAAATAGGTTGCAAGTCGCCATAATTGGATAACAGAAGCTGGGAGTGTGTATGTTTCTGCCACTGTAAACCATGTCTGTCAATATCAGTCCCAGTATGTTGGTGAAGAATGACAGAAGCACATACCTGTACAACAGCTCTTATGTCCTTGGTGGAGGCAACTGCTGCTACGACTCTGGAGACATGTCGTAGGGCAAAGACTTCTCTTCAACTCCTCCACTCACTACCTGTAATGTGCTTAGCACCAATCCTATCATGCCTGCAACCACCACCACACTAACCTGATGAAAAGAAAATACAGAAAATAAGAATCGTTTCTGAATCCCATTTTATGACAGAGTTGAAAAAAGACTCATGGAAACCTACATCAAGACAACTGGGCTACTTGATTACATCAGACAGCAAAGTTCCCACTAATTTTTTACATTACAGTGCAAAATAAATTCTGTTACATGCATTAACATAAAAGCAATGTGTAGATGTGCACCACCAGTAGAAGCAAATAAGCTAAATAAAACATATTTGTTTTAAAGTTATTGCAGGTATGTGAGAAGTAGAACATAAAAATAAAAGTACATGTACTATAGATAACCAGGTTGTGTTGCATAATGTGTTTATTTAAAATAGAAGAGATGTTGCCAATGATGATGATATCCACAGCTGGGAAAATTAAGTGCATGGTACTGGGCGGAGCAGCTGTTATTGGGCGTAGGAATACTGTAACCAACCCATAACAACCAGAGCCTCTAAAAATAAGTTTTGAAGCCAAGGTTATTGCTGAAGGGCAGAGAATATGGGTTCAGTAAGTTTTTGGGAAAGGATGTCCTGCTGACATGGGATGCCTGATTATGTGGAGCAACAGGTATAAACTAAATTTATGGCCTTGTTGAGAGAGAGAGAGAGAGAGAGAGAGAGAGAGAGAGAGAGAGAGAGACAGACAGACACAGAGAGAGAGGACAGAACAGAGACAGAGAGAGAGAGAATATGGTTGCTCCTACCTTACAGGCAACAATTTATGGAGTGGAATAGTTTAGTTGTGTTACTATCTCAAATAAATTCCTCACTATACCATACCTTTACTGCTTGACTGTATGGACCGATAGCTGGCCAGTGAGATATGCCCTGAGCGTGCATTGTTGTGCGAGATGTGGGGTGTAATTGGTCATTTTCTTCATCCGTGGTCACGTGACTTCGTTTCCAACTGGACACATCAATTGTAATCGAATATCACTTGGAAGAGGCACCTAAATAAAAACCAAATAAAATTTGAAATATTTTATAATTATGCACAAACAACTGCAATTTATCTGAAGTAACACAAACCAACTGAGTTTGTATATGTGGAGGCAAACCATGTACTAGTAGGTAGTAGGCAGCTACCAAACAGGGAGGTACTACATCCTGGGAAGATATTGGAAGCATAATGTATTGTCTAATGGTAGACCCTGCTGCCATATGGCATCACGAAAATTGTGACCGAGTCCCAGGTTGCTGATCTGACTTTCTGCCTCATTTACACACAATTGCAGGGTCTCAATTGTTTCTCTTACTGTTGACAACACAACATACATACTCCGTATATCATTTCTCACTATTATATTTTTTATTTTTTTTATTTATTTATGGCTTTTTAATATTACTATTATTATTATTATAATTATTATTATAATTTATATTAAATGTTAATATTTTATAATTATTATTATTTAGTATATTTCATCCCAGGCCTTGATGTGGATCATAAAATGACCTGTGCCTGGGTGGGCTAATGCCCAAAAAAAAAATGTAGCCACGGAAGAAAAATCTAACCTAACCTAGAGAAATGAGACCAGTAATAAAAACACTGGAGGCATAGCCAGAAATAAATGATACACATTTACATGTTCAACTACGGTATTAATTTCCAAAACTAGATTGGTGATATTTCAGAGGTGCAATGGAGGTGTTAATGACAGAATTCACTTTTGGTCTACCTACCTCAACACAAACTCTAAGGAGTTGACAGAGAATGTTTGATGTACTGAGCATTGAGCAGGCTATAATCATCTATATCTTGTACATACATCTTCACACAAACTAAGTCATGTAATTCCATTTCTTCGCCAAGCAAACATTCTGAAAAAGAAAAGCTGGTATTAGTTGTCAATATAAGCACTATAGTAACACACTGCTTTGCCAGACTCATTATTGCAGTGAATGATCTGCAGAGCTATGATTACCAAATCCCTTCTCTTCCTCCTCCGTAATGTCTAGCATTAAATGCTACATATTTGGGTTATCGTCGGTTGAAATAATGTACTAAATGCCACTGTTTGTATTCCTTCACTGTCCATGTATATGTTATAACATTGAGAACTTGCGTGATGACTTTTACCAACTTAATGTCTATTTATCAATTTCTCATAATTAAACTATATGTGAGACACTGCCTACAACAGGTGGAAAAATGGGACACTTGTCCATTTTGGCCTTCAACCATCACCACCACTATACCCCCAAAGGGTTCTGGGCTCAGTAGGTAAGAGAAGTAATGTTTCAGATCAAGCTGTGTCTCTGGACAATGTACTGATGTGCAGCCTTACCAAGTTCTTATGCCTTCACCAGCTCTGACTATACTTCTCCCTTTATCAGAAAAGGAAAAGTTCAAACATTTGTCCTATAGAAAATGACACATCATTCATATTAGGGGTTATAGAAAAGGTGGGTTATTTTTTATTAACACTTAGTGTCCTAGTGGTCTAACTACATGATCAACTCACACTGGCTGACTCTGCACACCTGAGTGATGTTCTCATATTTCTTCCATCATTTTTTTAAATACTGTATCTAAATTATTATAACTTCATGAGTTAGATAGGATACTGAAAAGATATGTAGAGAAAAAATTTACAGAAAAAAATTCAGAGAATATAAATGGAATATATAAGTTCTGTGCCAGCAGGCTCTCTGCATGACTGTCAACACACAGACACACATGAAAGAAAGTGTTAATATAATATCATGTGTCCTGCCATTGAATAATTCTACCCAATGACACCTAATGGGCTTTTTCATGTGGTGTTCAGTAAGCTGTGATCTAAAGATAACTCACCTTTAAGTCTAGTGATAACTTCATCTGCAGTATTACCGGAAAACTAAAAGTAGCCCAGAGAAGTGCGGACAACACCACAATGCAGGTCATCCACTTCAGGAAGAGTTTGTGGTCGCATGAAAGGGCTCATACCTGTAGAAGTTAAATCAAACTATGGTTTATGTGGATAAATAAGCAATGGGTATTGTTCAAAATGAGAGATCTTAATTTTAAATACAGTTCAAAGATGAAGATGATATAAAAGTTCAAATATTTGGTAATGCAGTCAATAAAGATACCACGAAACTGGAACTCACTTCTTACACTTTATTCCTTAAAAAATCCACAATACCTGTTGCAGGATCTACATTACAATATTCACCTACAGTACTACACACCTGGTTATAGAAGCATCATTGTCTTCTATATAGATTCCTTGGCCTGGTCCTCTGCCTGCTGTTCTTCCTCTGCCAAGTTTAGGTCACTCAGGAACTCTTCTGGGTCCACGAATACCAGCCGCTTTCACTAACTCCAGCTGACTCATGTCATCAGGCTGAACAGATAATCATCATTTAGCCACATGCATCAAGCTTACCTTAAAGCTAATATAATGACAATACTTAATATACTGTACAAGGGCATACACAACATGAGGGTTATGAGCAGTTAATGTCTCATGAGGGTGTTTGGAGTGACACCAGGCTATAATATACTGTGTACAGGTGTTATGCTTTAGCTCTACTAATGTGTACAGGTGTTATGCTTTAGCTCTACTAATATTTTAGGCTTAATAGCTATAACATTTTATAAGAATATGGTTCTTGATGGATACAAAACAAAAGATACTTACTATCTCTTTATCAACTAGTTCTAAAGACTTCAGATTCAAGTAACCAACACCTCCTGCAGTTTCCACTATTTCTGTTTCATGTCTGAAAATATGAAAGGGTATTTACGTTAATATCCCAACAGTTTTGTTATGATCTATGGATCTCCTCGAGATTCTACCAGTGAATACTCCACAGTCCATCACTACTTAGGAAGTGTGTAATGCTCTCAACTTAATAATTAATAATTTTAAAGCTAGTCACATAATCCAACTGCACATTGACATCACATGCTTTACAAAGTTTTTGAATCGTTGTTGACAATAATATTTGTTTGTTTCAAGATTTCTAAATGATGATATGGTTGCCTTCAGCATAAACAGTGTCCATGTGGATAATCCATCCCTGCCACTAACCACTGTGCACATTCTAAGCAATGGCAGGCTTTGTCAGGGATGATTTTTGCTTATATTTTACAGTTTACTCATTTGTACTCTACAGCAAAATGGGATTTCATCTACAATTCTTAATTTTTAATGAATAATAAATTTTCTGCAACTTTTAAGAATTCATAACCATTAAAATTTTCTTCATTAATCTTTTCAGTCTAGATGTGCCCTGCACCCAGAGTCCTACAGATGTGCCCTGCACACCCAGGAACAGTCCTACAGATGTGCCCCGCATACCTGGAACAGTCATTGCAGATGTGTCCTGGCATGTCTGGGAACAGTCCTACAGATGTGCTCCTGTACACCCGGGAACAGTCCTACAGATGTGCCCTGTACACCTGGGAACAGTCTCTACAGATATGCCCTGTACACCCGGGGAACAGTCCACACAGATGTGCCCTGTACACCTGGGAACAGTCCCAGATATGCCCTGTACACCTGGGGAACAGTCCTACAGATGTGCCCTGTACACCTGGGGAACAGTCCCACAGATGTGCCCTGTACACCTGGGAACAGTCCTACAGATGTGCCCCGTGACACCCGGGAACAGTCCTACAGATGTGCCCATACACCTGGGGAACAGTCCTACAGATGCCCGTACACCTGGGAACAGTCCTACAGATGTGCCCCCTGCACACCCGGGGAACAAACAGTCCTACAGATGTGCCCACACCTGGGAACAGTCCTACAGACGTGCCCAGCACACCTGGGAACATCCGCCAGATGTGCCCTGCACACCTGGGGAACAGTCCTACAGATGTGCCCAGTACACCTGGGGAACAAATCCCACAGATGTGCCCAGTACACCTGGGGAACAGTCCCAGATGCCTATACACCTGGGGAACAGTCCCAGATGTGCCCATACACCTGGGGAACAGTCCCAGATGTGCCCAGCACACCTGGGGAACAGTCCCACAGATGTGCCCCTGCACACCTGGGGAACAGTCCTGCACAGATGTGCCCCGTGACACCTGGGAACAGTCCCACAGATATGCCCTGCACACCTGGGGAACAGTCCTACAGATATGCCCTGTACACCTGGGGAACAGTCCTACAGATGTGCCCCAAATACACCGGAACAGTCTCTACAGGATATGCCCTGTACACCTGGGGAACAGTCCTACAGATGTACCCTGTACACCCTCGGAATGTCCCATGATGTGCCCTGGCCCGGGGAACAGTCCTACAGATGTGCCCCCTGCACACCTGGGGAACAGTCCACAGATATGCCCTGTACACCTGGGGAACAGTCCTACAGATGTGCCCCTGGTACACCTGGGGAACAGTCCCACAGATGTGCCCTGTACACCTGGGGAACAGTCCCACAGATGTGCCCCCAGACCAGTCCCAGATGTGCCCTGTACACCCGAACAGTCCTTGCGATGCCCTGCACACCCGGGGAACAGTCCCACAGATGTGCCCTGTACACCCGGGAACAGTCTCACAGATGCCCAGTACACCTGGGGAACAGTCCACAGATGTGCCCTGTACACCCGGGAACAGTCCCACAGATATGCCCTGTACACCTGGGGAACAGTCCCACAGATATGCCCTGTACACCTGGGAACAGTCCTACAGATGTGCCCTTCTGTACACCTGTGAACAGTCCTACAGATGTGCCCCACACCTGGGGAACAGTCCCATGATGTGCCCTGCACACCTGGGGAACAGTCCCACAGATGTGTCTCCGCACAATCAAACAGTCCTACAGATGTGCCCTGCACACCTGGGGAACAGTCCTACAGATATGCCCTGTACACCTGGGAACAGTCCTACAGATGTGCCCCCTGTGACACCTGGGGAACAGTCCTACAGATGTGCCCAGTACACCTGGGGAACAGTCCCACAGATGTGCCCTGTACACCTGGGGAACAGTCCCACAGATGCCCTGTACACCTGGGAACAGTCCCACAGATGTGCCCTCAGACACCCGGGGAACAGTCCCACAGATGTGCCCTGTACACCCGGGAACAGTCCCACAGATGCCCTGTACACCTGGGAACAGTCCTACAGATGCCTGCACACCCAAACAGTCCTACAGATGGCCCTGTACACCTGGGGAACAGTCCCACAGATGTGCCCTGGGTACACCTGGGGAACAGTCCCATGGATGTGCCCTGTACACCCGGGGAACAGTCCACAGATGTGCCCCGTACACCTGGGGAACAGTCCTACAGATGTGCCCCACACCCGGGAACAGTCCTACAGATATGCCCCACACCTGGGAACAGTCCTACAGATGTGCCCTGTACACCTGGGGAACAGTCCCACAGATGTGCCTCCCTGCACACCGGAACAGTCCTACAGATGTGCCCTGGTACACCTGGGAACAGTCCTACAGATGTGCCCCGACACCTGGGGAACAGTCCTACAGATGTGCCCAGCACCTGGGAACAGTCCCACAGATATGCCCTGCACACCTGGGAACAGTCCTACAGATGTGCCCCTGCACACCCGGGAAGTCCTACAGATGTGTTTTCCAGTACACCTGGGGAACAGTCCCACAGATGTGCCCAGTACACCTGGGGGGGGAACAGTCCCACAGATGTGCCCTCCTGTACACCTGGGAATGAAGTCCTGCATACAGATGTGCCCAGTACACCCGGGAACAGTCCTACAGATGTGCCCAGTACACCTGCGAACAGTCCCACAGATGTGCCCAGTACACCTGGGAACAGTCCCACAGATGTGCCCTGTACACCTGGGAACAGTCCCACAGATGTGCCCCTGTACACCTGGGGAACAGTCCCACAGATGTGTGCTCAGTACACCTGGGAACAGTCCCACAGATGTGCCCTGTACACCCGGGGAACAGTCCTACAGATGCCCCACACCCGGGGAACAGTCCTACAGCCCCACACTCCGGGGAACAGTCCCAAGGTGATATGCCCCACACCTGGGAACAGTCCTCATGATGTGCCCTGCACACCCGGGGAACAGTCCCACAGATATGCCCCGTGACACCTGGGGAACAGTCCTACAGATGTGCCCCGTGACACCTGGGAACAGTCCTACAGATGTGCCCTGTACACCCGGGGAACAGTCCCACAGATGTGCCTCAGACACCCGGGGAACAGTCCCACAGATGTGCCCTGTACACCTGGGGAACAGTCCCAGATGCCCCTGTACACCTGGGAACAGTCCCACAGATATGCCCTGTACACCTGGGGAACAGTCCCACAGATGTGCCCTCTGTACACCTGGGAACAGTCCTACAGATGTGCCCCTGGCACACCCGGGGAACAGTCCTACAGATGTGCCCTGGGTAACACCCGGGGAACAGTCCCAGATGTGCCCTGCACACCCGGGGAACAGTCCCACAGATGTGCCCTGTACACCTGGGGAACAGTCCTACAGATAGCCCCTGTACACCTGGGGAACAGTCCCACAGATGTGCCCCGCACACCCGGGGAACAGTCCCACAGATGTGCCCCCAGACACCCGGGGAACAGTCCCACAGATGCCCTGTGCCACCTGGGGAACAGGTCCCACAGATGTGCCCCTGTACACCTGGGGAACAGTCCCACAGATGTGCCCCTGCACACCCGGGGGAACAGTCCTACATATATGCCCTGTACACCCGGGGAACAGTCCTGCAGAGGCTCCCTGCACACCCGGGGAACAGTCCCACAGATGTGCCCCTGCACACCTGGGAACAGTCCTACAGATATGCCCTGGTACACCTGGGAACAGTCCCACAGATGTGCCCCTGCACACCCGTGGGGAACAGTCCTACAGATGTGCCCAGTACACCCGGGGAACAGTCCCACAGATGTGCCTAGTACACCTGGGAACAGTCCAGATGTGCCCAGTACACCTGGGAACAGTCCTACAGATGTGCCCCTGCACATCTGGGAACAGTCCCACAGATGCCCTGTACACCTGGGAACAGTCCTACAGGATGTGCCCTGCACACCTGGGAACAGTCTCACAGATGCCCCTGTACACCGGGAACAGTCCTACATATGTGCCCTGTACACCCGGAACAGTCCTACAGATGTGCCCTGTACACCTGGGAACAATCCCCATGGATGTGCCCTGGCAACACCCGGGGAACAGTCCTACAGATATGCCCAGTACACCTGGGAACAGTCCCACAGATGTGCCCAGTACACCTGGAGAACAGTCCTGACAGATGTGTTCCCTGCACACCCGGGAACAGTCCCACAGATGTGCCCCACACTGGGGAACAGTCCCACAGATGTGCTGCCCTGTACACCCGGGAACAGTCCCACAGATGTGCCCCACACCTGGGGAACAGTCCTACAGATGTGCCCAGTACACCGAACAGTCCTACAGATGTGCTCCCTGCACACCCGGGGAACAGTCCCACAGATGCCCAGGCACACCTGGGAACAGTCCCACAGATGTGCCCTGTACACCCGGGAACAGTCCTACAGATGTGCCCAGTACACCTGGGAACAGTCCCACAGATATGCCCTGTACACCTGGGAACAGTCCCACAGATGTGCCCTGTACACCTGGGGAACAGCCTCTACAGATGTGCCCCTGTACACCTGGGGAAACAGCCTCTACAGATGTGCCCTGTACACCTGGGGAACAGTCCTACAGATGCCCAGTACACCTGGGGAACAGTCCTACAGATGTGCCCCAGCACCTGGGGAACAGTCCCACAGATGTGCCCAGTACACCTGGGGAACAGTCCCCACAGATGTGCCCAGCACACCTGGGAACAGTCCCACAGATGTGCCCAGTACACCCTGGGAACAGTCCTACAGATGTGCCCTGTACACCCGGGACAGTCCCACAGATGCCCTGCAAGGGGGGGAACAGTCCCATGATGCCCCAGTACACCCGGGGAACAGTCCTACAGATGTGCCCAGTACACCTGGGGAACAGTCCCACAGATGTGCCCTGTACACCTGGGGAACAGTCCTACAGATATGCCCCTGTACACCCAAACAGTCCCACAGATGTGCCCAGTACACCTGGGGAACAGTCCCACAGATGTGCCCAGTACACCTGGGAACAGTCCTACAGATGTGCCCAGCACCTGGGGAACAGTCCCACAGATGTGCCCAGCACACCTGGGAACAGTCCCACAGATGTGCCCAGTACACCTGGGAACAGTCCCAGATGTGCCCTGCAGCCACCTGGGAACAGTCCCACATGTGCCCAGCACCTGGGAACAGTCCCACAGATGTGCCCCTGCACACCCGGGGAACAGTCCTACAGATATGCCCTACACCTGGGGAACAGTCCCACAGATGTGCCCAGTACACCTGGGGAACAGTCCCCAGCAGATGTGCCCAGTACACCTGGGAACAGTCCTACAGATGTGCCCAGGCACACCTGGGAACAGTCCCACACAGATGTGCCCCCACACCTGGGGAACAGTCCCACAGACAAAGTCTCCTGTACACCCGGGGAACAGTCCCACAGATATGCCCTGTACACCCGTGGGGAACAGTCCCCACAGATGTGCCCCAGCCACCTGGGAACAGTCCCACAGGATGTGCCCTGTACACCTGGGGAACAGTCCCACAGATGTGCCCTGTACACCTGGGAACAGTCCTACAGATGCCCTGTACACCCGGGAACAGTCCACAGATGCCTCCTGTACACCTGGGGAACAGTCCTACAGATGTGCCCTTGCACACCTGGGGGAACAGTCCCACAGATGCCCAGCACACACCTGGGGAACAGTCCCACAGATGTGCCCAGCACACCTGGGGAACAGTCCCACAGATGCCCAGTACACCTGGGAACAGTCCTACAGATGCCCTGTACACCCGGGGAACAGTCCTACAGATGTGCCCCGTGACACCTGGGGGAACAGTCCTACAGATGTGTGCCTGTGCACACCTGGGAACAGTCCTACAGATGTGCCCAGCACACCTGGGAACAGTCCTACAGATGTGCCCAGTACACCCGGGGAACAGTCCTACAGATGTGCCCCTGTACACCTGGGAACAGTCCTACAGATGTGCCCTGTACACCTGGGAACAGTCCTACAGATGTGCCCTGTACACCTGGGAACAGTCCTACAGATGTGCCCTGTACACCTGGGAACAGTCCTACAGATGTGCCCTGTACACCTGGGAACAGTCCTACAGATGTGCCCTGTACACCTGGGAACAGTCCTACAGACATAATATGAGATAAGTTTTAACTTTCTAATATCCTGGAGCCATATGTCATGAGCCATACAATGATGTCAACAACACAAATAATTCATCTTCAGAAATTTAACAGGTGTTCAGTTGTCCTTTCAATAACATGGGGGGGGGAACAATTATCAAAATACATACAGTATCTGGCAGCCTCGAGAGTAATATCCCTGGAGTAATATCCCTGCATTTGGGAGGCACATATATTAAGATTACTTCATGGCAATATGGGAAGAACCAGACCTAATTTTAATGGAAGTACAGTAGTGATGAAGAGGAACATGATAATGGTGATAAAAATCAGCAAATTGTCAGCATAGGGAGAATCTGGGAGGACACACTGACCCAAACTATTTACCGGTAAAATGAATCTTAAAGGAACTGCAGCTGCTACTCAAAATATTTTTTTTAGGTTTTATGGCTTTTATCATGACAATAAATCAAATAGTTGCCTATATTTTGCTTAGAACTAAAAGGGTCAAATAAATACAATTACTAATATTTTTTTCAACTGACAAAATGCTGAGAATTAATTTACCAATAGCAAACTTTTAGAATTAACACTACAGTCAACATAATCAACTACTAAACTGTGTATCAAGCTTAACAATGTTCTACAGCATATCAATTACTGTAATTTTGTGTTAGTTATGTTGTATCTGTCTAAAACCTTCACTACTGGACACCACTTTTAATATTTCATTTAGTTAACACTATAATTTTATTCAGCACAGAGAGACCCTTCATCCCCAAAGAGTTTAAATATATAATGTTGACATCCTTTAATGAATACACAAAATAATATATTAGAGACTGACAGAGTTACTCACACTACTATACGCTTTCTAAAAATTGGACAGTCAAGAGTGAAAGATTCATACTCGCCCCCTTCACCACACACGTTCAGACGGTACTTTTCTTTCTGTTGATGAGAGAGGGACAAAGTATAGGTAGCATATCTTAACATATAGACAATAGCAGAAAAATATAATTCAATATATAAAATTAAATTCACTAAAGACTCCAAGCACATTCAGGTCTCTCCAAGTATATACCATAATGGATCCCATTTGATTAAAAAAATTATAAGGTGCAGAAAAGGGCAATTGCATATACTGTGAACATATACCTGTATCTTGCCTTGCTATACAGTACAGTGAACCTTAGGTTTACGCATTTCTACATTTACGCGGTACCCTGCCAGAACTGGAATTCCCACTTTACGCAGTGCATCTACTCATATACGCGGGTGAAGTATAATTTTTTTATTTAGCTCATAAAATTCATACAAATTATCTGGCCAGAATATAATTTACATTGCTGGAATTCTTACAATTTGATGATCATTTTGAATATAAACATCATAGATTTTGCATTAGACATACAAATTTTAGATCTAATGTAAGTATTTTGTTTACTCTGAGTAAATATGTTATCTTTTGTGCAAAATATATGACATTTATATTCAAAATACTCCTGGTCTTACAAGGAATCCAGCAATGTCAATTATATTATCCTAACTTAGTTTGAAGTATTATTCATTATTATACCTTAAAATCTAGTGGTTTTCCCCAAAAAATTTCTCAGAGAGGGAAGAGCCAGGAGTGTGAGAAGAGGGGTAGGGAGTCGAGTCCATTATTTGAATGGACATTAACTTGGCGAGTGTATTTCTCTATTTCTCTTAAGTATTAATTGTGTGCATGTACCATCATAAAATTAAAATGTTATTTTTACTAGAACATAGGTATTGTGTCGGAAAAAGTGGAGTTTAGGGGTCAGCCGGTCTATTTCATTTAATCCCATATGTTATGTTGTTCACTTTACGCGTTTCTCGCTTTCGCCAGTAATTACCCGATTCTCGCGGTCAATTGAACCCACAAGGGTACTTGGAAAGTGAAAACGCGTAAAGTGAACAACAAAACATATGGGATTAATTCACATAGAACTGGCCCGCCTAAACTCACTTTTCGACTGTTACATTTATGATGGTATCACCTAATAATATTTAAGAAAATACTGTCGCCAGGTTAATGTCCATTCAAATAATGACCAAACCCCCACTCTTCCCAGCTCACTAGCTCCTACCTCTCTGATTAATGTTTGGGTGAAAATCCAGATTTTAACGTTTAGTAATAAATAATACCTCAGGCTAAAGTTAGGATAATATAATTGACATTTCTGGATTCCTTGCAGGTCAAGAATATTTTGAATGTAAGTTCATATATTTTGCACAAAGACAAAATATTTGCTTTGTGTAAACCAAATTATTACATTAGAAGGTAAAGACCTAGTGAGCTGGGAAGAGTGGGGATTTGAGTCCCATTGTTGAATGGACATTAACTTCAACGACTGTATTTCTCTTAAATATTAATTGTCTGACATACCATCATAAAATTTAGATGTTATTTTACTACAACATAGGTATTGTGTCGGAAAAAGTGGAGTTTGGGGTCAGGCCAGTCTCTATTGGAATTAATCATATGTTCTGTTTGTTCACTTTACGCGGTTTCACTAACGCGTACCCTGTAGGTTCAATTGACCGCGTAAATCAGGGTACTACTGCGTAAAGCGAAAACGTAAGTGAACAGCATAGCATATGATTAAACTCAAATAGATAGCTGACCCCAAGCTCACTTTTCCCATTTCTGTATCTAGCTCTTATTTGAGCCTATGATGGTACATCACCTAATTAATATAGAAAATAGAAAACTCCCCACTCGCCAAGTTAATGTCCCATTCAAATAATGAACTCCTCTTCTCACACTACACTGCTGTCTTCCTCTCTGAAATTTTTTTTGAGAAAAGCCACTAGATTTTAAAGTATATGTT